GGCTATAGGGGCTATGGGGGCTGTAGGGGCCATGGGGGTTTTAGGGGTTCTGGGGGTTTATAGGGGCTATGGGGGCTGTAGGGGCTATGGGGGCTATAGGGGCCATGGGGGTTTTAGGGGTTCTGGGGGTTTATAGGGACTATGGGGGCCATGGGGTTTTTAGGGGTTCTGGGGGCTATAGGGGCTGCAGGGCTATAGGGGACACAGGGGTCCTGTGTGTTGGTTGGGGTACACAGGGGTGGGGGTCTATGGGCTCCATGGGGGTCGGTGGGGGTTTATGGACTCCAAAGGGGTCCTGGGGTTCCACAGGATTCATGAGGGTCCCTGGGAATCCTGCGGAGTCTGTAGGGGTCTGTGGGGGTTTATAGGGTCCATAGGGGTCCCTGGGGATCCTGGGAAGTCCACAGGGGTCTATAGGATCCATGGGGCTCTATAGGATCCATAAGGGTCTCTGGGGGCTCTGTAGAGTCCCTGGGGGTCCATAGGGGTCTGTGGGGTCTCTGGGGGTCCATAGGGGTCCCTGGGGGTCCATAGGGGTCTGTGGGGGTCCATAGGGGTCTGTGGGAGTCCATAGGGGTCTGTGGGGTCCCTGGGGGTCCATAGGGGTCCCTGGGGGTCTGTGGGGTCCCTGGGGGTCCATAGGGGTCTGTGGGAGTCCATAGGGGTCTGTGGGGTCCCTGGGGGTCCATAGGGGTCTGTGGGAGTCCATAGGGGTCTGTGGGGTCCCTGGGGGTCCATAGGGGTCTGTGGGGTCCCTGGGGGTCCATAGGGGTCCCTGGGGGTCGCGGCACAGGGGTGGGCGTGGCATTCAGGGGCGGGGCATCACAGACCCCGCCCCTCCGCGTGGCCCCGCCCTCCCCGCGGCCTCCGGGCGCGCATGCGCGGTGCTTCCCTTTAAACGTGCACAACAAGTCCCGGCTCCTCCGCTGACCCAGCCGCGGAGGCGAGCAGTGCCGCGAATCCTTCCGCGCAGGAGAGGGCGGAGCCTGAGGACTATTTCCCCGTCCCCCATCCCGCCACACCGCCTCCCGACACCGGGGCGCGGCGGGGGGGGCTCCGATGCTGTTCCTCGCTGTCCCCGTTCCCGCCGTCGCCGGCGGCCGCGGCGCTGTGGCGGCGCTCGGCGCTCGTCCCGGTCCCGCGGCGGAAGGACACGCGGGCTCACAGCACCGCCAACAGAGACGTGAGAGGCCGCGCCTGCGCAGTACGCGCGTGCGCGCGGGCGGGGGGCGGGCGGCAGGAGGAGGAGGATCCAATATGGCGGCGGCGACCCGGCCGGGGGGACCGGGCAGGCCTCGGGTGTGAGGCGGGCGGAGCGCGGGGCGGCGGGGCTGGACGGGCCGGAGGAGAGGCGCAGGGGCCGCGGAGGGGCCGGCGGGTCGGCGGAGCTCGCGGGCGCTGTCTTGACCCCCCTTTCCCCGCGGCTTGGGGTGGGGGGGGCGGCCCGCGGCCTGTGAGGGGGCGGCGCGGGGGCGGCGGGGCCTCCATGGCCCCCTGAGGGGGTCCCCGCGGGCAGTCCGGGAACCCCCCGCTCCCCTCGGTGCGAGGGATGGAGGAGGGGGAGCAGCAGCGCGCAGGGGGCGGCTGGGCCGAGTGGGGGCCCGGCCCGGGGGGGTCCCCGCCGTGGGTCCCGCCGCCGCCCGACGGGGACGAGGAGCCCAAGCGGGGCCGCGGCGCGGAGTGGGGGGGGCCGGAGCCCCCCGGGGACGCGGGGCCGCCCCGAGCCGCGGCCGCGCCCCCCAAAGCGGCTGCGGACGAGAAGGCCGCGAGCGCCCCGCGCCCCCCCCGGGCCGGGGCCGAACCGCGGGGTAAGGGCGGGGGGGGACCCGGCAAGGGACCCGGGGGGCGTCCCCCGGGCGAGGAGCGGAGCCCCCGCAAGGCCCCCGAGGAGCGCGGGGCCCGCGGCGGGGATCGGGCCGGCCCCGAGGACAAGGCCCGGCGGCCCCTCGGGGGTCCCCGCGGCGGGGCCGGCCCGGAGCAGCGCGGGGAGTGGGGGTCGCCCTGGGTGCCGGCCGAGCCGGAGCCCCCCGAGGACTTTCTGCCCCCGCCCGAGTGCCCCGTGTTCGAGCCCAGCTGGGCCGAGTTCAGCGACCCCCTGGGTTACATCGCCAAGATCCGCCCGATCGCCGAGAAAAGCGGCATCTGCAAGATCCGACCCCCGGCCGTGAGTATGGGGGGCTCGGGGGGGCTGGGGGACCCCCCCCAATGGGGAACCCCCGTCCCAGGGGGGGCTGCGCGCCCTGTCCCGCTCCCTCGGGGGTGGGGTTGGGGTAGGTGCCCCCCCGGGGGCAGAATTGTCCCCTTGGTGGGGTCATTTCTTAATTTCGGGGGCGCTAATTGCCCCCCCTTTAGGAGCGTTTTGCCTTTGTGGGGGTGCTCGTGTCCCCGGGGGAGGGGTGTTCTCTATTTTGGGGCACGGTTGCTTTTTTGGACGTGTTTTGTGCTGGGGGGCGATTGCCCCTGGGGGTGGGACGTTCCCAGTTGGGGGGGGGTTAATTCTCCTGATTATGGGGAGTTAATGAAGCCCACCACGGGAACGGTTTCTCATTTAGGAGGGGTTAATGAACCCCCCCCCATGGCTCAGTGCTCCTGCTGCACCCTTGGGGGAGGAGGGGATGTCCCGGGGGGGGAATGATGGGCTCGGGGGGAGGGGGCGACCCATCTGTGGGGGGGGCGAATCCCCGCTGGGGGGCTTGGGGGGGGGGGACGTGCCCCCGCC